GGCTCAGAAGATGAAACAAGGAAGCAGGTCAGAAATAGTTTACATAGTGCAATGAGGACACAAAACGCCAATAAACTGCATCGAATAACTATAGCATAAACTGCAGACCGTAGCCGTGTGGAAAGCCGTGCCGTGGGTCTGAGTAGTTCCAGAAGATCCAGTTAAAAAGCAGATCGTTAGATTAAGAAATCATGAGGTCGTTTGGAACGAGTGAGTCATAACCGCAACAAGTCGTGGCGGTTTTGAATTTCATAGAACATAAAAAGAAACAGCGCCAGAACCTAGGCAAAGGAGTACAAGTAAAAGGAAGACTCACTCAACTGTTTTTTGAATGTACTCCTTTGCCTAGGTTTTTGAATGGAACGTCATGTCTATGTTATTTAAGGACAATCAGTGTCATTGTGCTGATATTCAAGGTGCACAGTATTCCGATTGAAGGCAAACCCGGATTAGCCCGACTAGTAGGAAGGATACCGCGAGGGAAATTGTGGGGTCCGTACCTTCATAGATCATGCCAGCTTCGTTGCCCAAATTGCGCGATTAGGGCGCTAATCCATTACGAACCTGCAACCATCGACCCTCGTTGCAACGCTTCCCACCCACCGCTATTGATATAGAGATCAGCGTGCTCTCTCGAACGGCGTGCTCTCTCGCGTGTTTTGTCTTCTTTGTCTCGCCATCGTACCACATCCGACCTTACTGAAGGTTAAGGCCTTAATTTTAGCGTTTCCAAGATTTCTCTTGCTTTCCTTTCCACTTTCAGTCGTTCCGCAGCTCAGTCATCACTACGAAGCGCCTATACACCAGTTTTATCCCGGGGCTTGCCTTTAGTACCTTTCGCTCTGATGGGTGAGATGTTGGTTTTGGAAATGGGACGGTTTTCGCAAACCCATCCTTTCCGGATTTTGCACAAATACTGGCCTTTGCTCATGCACATAGAGTGCGGTGAAAAAGACCACATGGCGCGCAACTTTTTCATTTATACTTTGGCCCATGTATGACTAGGGCGGAAGTGGTGTAGTGGACAAGTGGCGCGCTTACCACGCGAGCGGTCCGGGGATCAAATCCTGGGTCGTGAGTCGCCGGGCCAACCAAGCCTTCCATCCCTCCGGGGTCGGTTAATTGGTACCAGACTTGTCTGGGAGGATAAAAACACTGACTTGTACATCGGCTGGCCCCCGCAAGTCATTGTATAGGCCACATCGCATTCAAACGCCACTACGAATGTACAAATGGAAGTAGAATGCGTGCCGCATCCCAAAAAGGGATTGATCAACGGCAAATGCTTTATCCTTTTATCCTTTTATGATTGCCAGAATATTTTGAAGTAATTCGATAATTAAGAAGCTTGGCTGAAGAGATGTATGCGGCCGAATATGTGGGGGCCTGCTTAGGTTTTATCAAGAAACGCCGTTCCAAAGATGATGATAGGTTATTTCGGCCGGTTGTGAAAAAGACGTACAAATCCAGCGAAGAGAATATTGTTTGCGTATGCAATTCAACCTACTGTGACGATATTGAGGTACCTACCGTAAACAATTTTCTAGGGAAATCTCTGCTTTAATTCCAGAATTCTACTATTCCTATTGGTGATTTTCCTTACCTGTGGTGCGTTAGTTAGTCGTATTGTCCGTCAGAAGTTGCCCAATTGGTGTGATAAGGCCGGTGTTTAGAAAAATAGTCTGCCAAGGAACCAGGATGCCATTGTGCTGTTAATGAAGCCTACGGACCAACCTGAAGATATGCTGTGGTCATGACTGAACCATTTTCTACGAGGAAACCACTGATTGTTGACGTTCTATCGTTGGAACTTTGTAGCTACTTTTCAAGGTGATGGGGTTGCTTCTGCAGATGCATGCGATTCGCTCGATTCGCAAAGTCTGTATATGGCCTTATGAAGAACAATTATGTGACGTTGGAGACCCGTTTCGGTGCGAGCTGGCGCATTAGATGGTTGCCCACTAACGATGTTAGTTTGTCCGGAGGAGTTCGGAGTTTCAAATTCGCGACTTGCGCTTTCTCGTCTCGTCGTGAAATAATTCATGACAAGGATTATCTCCTTGTCGAAGGTACAGTGTCCCATGAAAGTCGCGTTCGGACCAGCGCTTGTGTGTTCAGTGCTGTTTGTGCTCGGCTATCACATTTTTATGTTGATCTTTTGCAGCTACTGCACGCAAGCAAATATTACTTTTCCAGAGATCCAGGAATTAGGGAGTCCAAGCAGGGTGAATATCGGTCGAGGAAATCCTCGACAGGGGGGTCGTACCTGTCGGGCTGGTCCATGGGGGGTCGTACTCTTGGGGGTCAGTAACAGCAGTGGTATCGTGGTGCAGATAGGTAAGAGGGTATAGCGCAGCAGAAAATGAAAATATCTGAAAAAACATGATATTAAATTTTCTTTGCAGGTTCAGTCGCTCCATTCCTCCACCTTCATGAGAAGGGCGTATTTGAAGGCAGTACAAAGAATGAAAGTGCATCCCCGCAAAGAAGACTGCCACATGTGCGCACGCGCTGCAAAGGCACCTCCTCTGCCTATCACTCGCTCCTTCTCCCTTAATACCTCGCTGAGAATGACGCTGTTGTTAGGGACCCTGTCGGAAAAACGACAACCGTGAAGAAAAAGCGCTGAAGTTGTTTTTTAGGTTACAGGAATAGCACAACACACTATGTCTACTACAATACAGTTTCGTTCGAAGGTCCCCATCATATAACACCTTTCAATCGATTCTGCAACTGTGAGTGGAGGAGGGATGCATGGCTTATACCAATACGAAATCGGATGATGACGATTGCCCCTATTCTTATTGCTTGCGTTGAAAGATTTTGTTCTAGACACATTCCGAGTGTTGCCAACGAATCACACTTGCAATGGTGAAGGAGGGAGCGGATTTCCAGGTGGCCGGATCCGTCCTCGATAGATCCTCGACGCAATTATCTCTTCAACCAAAAAGCTGTAGAAGAAAACTAAACAGACCATCAGAAGCGCAAACCTTCCGCTTTCCAAAACTATCTTCCCTTTTTCAGGATCTTACGATATTAAGAGAGATTGCTCTTGAAGTGGCAAAAACTCGCGTGAAAATTTCAGCGTCCTCGACATTTACTCGACGAAATTTGAGAGACCCTATCTTTCTGCATGGAAGGCTTTCAGAGCAATTTCAATACTTCTTGGAAACGCGAAATCCAGCTCTATCTAACCCTACCTCAAACTGCTTCAAAGGTTATGAAATGGAGGAATGCAACCTTTTCATCGAGGGTGTAGATTCGACGGTTTTTTTTTCGGGATTTCAGCAAATCTGACCCAGTGACAATCGCGCCGCAGCTGCCGTTGAATCGGCCGTTGATTGATACACTCGGCTGTTTCGATATACTCAAGCAGAATCAAGGGTGCTAACTTAGTTGGGGGGGGGGCACGCGGCGGCGCGGCAGTCTGCTCGCCTGGCATGTTCGGAAATCCGTGGGCCAGGGGGAGTGTAGCCAGTCTAGGGGGGTGGGGGGTGGGGGCAGTTGACATGCGTGAAAAGCTGGAATGTTCGAGTTTACACTGTCTCGCTCGAGAGAGCCCAGGTGAGCAGACTGCCGCGCCGCCGCGTGCCCCCCCCCCCAACTAAGTTAGCACCAAAAGATTGTATCGCAACCGTGCCTTCAGGATTTCTGTGCATTTCTGAACGAACCTGACTTTGAGGTCACACAAAGTTAATGCCTCTTTCCTCGAGTCGATATTTCAGTAAATACACAAAAGTGTGCAGCGATGAAAGACAGATGAGGCGTCCATAAGCATTATTTTGCAGAATTTTTTTTTGATTTGTTTTGCAGGATTTATTTTAATTGAATTAATTTGCTCTGTTAGAGGGGGTCGTGCCAGGATCTCGATTTCGGGGGGGGGGGTCGTACCTCTGCGACCACGTACTCGACACGATTTTCACCCTGGATTGCAAGCACTTTCATCAGTGATGTGTTATGTTGGTTAAAGAGTTCTGTACACGTGTGTTCGTGAAAGGCTCTCGTCCTCTGTCGATGGTTCCTTATTCATTTTCATTACTCACGTTAAAAGCGGAATTCACGCTGGAAAAAGCAAGCCATTTTCAAATTAACTTGGGATGGAGTGGTAGTGGCTAAACTAAGAAGGAAAAAACATGAGACAACAGCAAAACCCAAGGTATGGCCCTTCCCTCCCCGTTGATTTGCGCATTGATTTGACTCCCATCGCTGTGCCCTATTCAGCTCTCTCTGCTATCTACACTCCCCGCGTATAAACCTTTGGTTTTTGTGGGCCTTTTTTAAAGTAATGGTGGGGGACCTCGCCGACTGCGCCAAGAATTGAGCCCTGCTAGGTCGCCGAGGTCAAATCTTTCGGTGCCAATTGCGCGTCAGTCCGCACCCTCGGGGAGATCCGCGGGTCCTCAACTAGGTGAATTACTCCTTCTTCGACCTTCATTCTAATCGTGAATTCCTCCTTCAAACTTCAATCTCCACCCATCAGTATTTCATTTAAAAATTGACAATGAGTGCGCAGGAGCGACAGTTGGGACGACAACGAAAGGCGCCATAAGAGAAACCTGGATAATTTCTCAGTGAGGTATGGCGCGTGTTGAGGATTTAGACACACGCTGTGGACAGAAAACGTGGAGACGCGATACGCGAAGGAGGCGCGAACGCGTAGGCGGCGTTGTAAGGATGGCAGCACGCAGCTAAAAAACAGGGTCGTGGCGCGCACGGCGTAAATTAGTGTCGCGCCTCTGCGCTTAGGAGACCCCTCACTATGGGAGAAACTACTTCTTGGCACCTAATTCGACCCGTGGCTTCGAGTAATTGCAATTGTGTTTTTCCTATTATCAGCTTTTCCTATCGAATCTGGCGATATGCTGGCATGATAGTGACTATTTTAGTCCACAGACGACATTCCATCAGGGATCGCTGTTTTGTATACGTCATCGCGCAGCGGAAAACGCCTTGAAAAGTCTACCATCTCGATTTCTGAAGGAGCGAGCAGCAGTAAGTTTTCAAAAGTTGGTGCTATCAAATGAATCTGGCTGTTATACTCATCTACTAGGTGATGTCACAATTACAATCGACGCTCGAGAGACGTTTCAGTCGATAATCGGCTTCGGTGGTGCATTCACAGACGCTGTGGGGATCAACCTACGGTCGCTCAGCGAGCAAGCTCAAAGGAATCTGCTGGAATCGTACTTCGGCAAAAATGGCAAGTCTTTCTCATTTCATTTCTGACTCACCTCTTGGCGCTAGGGTTCGGAGAGGGCGGGTCTGTCATTTGCTAATCTCTGTCCTACTGAGAGAGCATTCATGATTGCGATTTTACAGGCAACTCAGCTAAACAGTACTATGACCATACACGCATTAGCTTTGCCACTCGATGAGTGACGTATCCACCCCAAACGAGCCTGCGGACGCATTGCCTTCTTTCTTACTTTCATACAATCTCGAACCTACAGAACTTTTTATCTCCTCTATTTATAGGGTTAATTGCCTCATGAAATTTGGCCTACCAGGGGAATTACCTGAAGGTGACGAGTAAACTTAATGTTAGACAAGTTGTGATCGACAGGATGTACGGAGCACACATGGGTTAAGCGGAACTACAATGGGCGGGGCATGCCGTAAAATGGAAGGTGTCAACAGCCAAAATTTCGAATGCCAAAACAGCCTAGAGACCGAGAAAATTGGTAAAAATGTGCACAGTGATGGCAGGTCAAATTAGGGAGAACCATTTGCGGTGGGTAAAACACTTTCTAAACAGGCGTTGCTCAATGAAAAATTCATAACCTGGTTACCAGAAAGCCTACAAAGCAGAAAAAATTAGATCAGAAGAGCAAGTCTAATTGTAAGGTGTTCCCAGAACCCTTGAATTGAATGGGGGCTCACCCACTTGTACGATTAGTGTAAGAGCCCACCTGTATCTGTTCACTGGGTCCACTAGCAAACTCTCTTACCGTGCTTACCTACGATAACATAGGTCTTCCCGTCCACTCCTAGAACTTTGAAGTACCATTCATTATAATCTGGAATCTCACGCCCCTAGTATGCGTTCTCCTCATTCACCAAATTCATACAGGCCACTCCGTTCTGAACCTTTGGATGAACCATCGTTCCCTTCAGCTCCCAGACGCTTAGATGACTTTCAAGATATTAGTTAAAGTCGGTAAACAATATGGTATAAATGGTAGCAGAGTAGAATCAGGCGTGGGGCAATTGTGATTTGCAGATCGAACAGTTGAAGGATGATTTTTTTTCGAAAAATTCAAAACTCGATAGTCATTATACCGTTCCGTGTTTAGGAATCGAATATAATTCTGGCACGGAGTACCTATTGCAAGCACGGATTTCTCCACACACGAGTATAGCTATGCTGATACTGCCAACGATTTTGAAATGGAAAAGTTCGCTTTAGCCAAGGAAGACTACCAATATAAGGTAGTCCTTCACGCTCTTACTACAATTCTTCAAAATATTTGGTAATTTATATCCTTTGTCATTTACCAGCCATAGCGTATTTTTCCGATTAGACTATTCTTTACACATTTCGAAAATGAATTACTATTGAATGAAGCGGGGTAAAGGAAGAGAGATCTGCTGTATTTATTTACACTTTCACAGGCTTTGTGGAGGACGGAGTAAGTCAGAACATTAGTCGTATGGAGTCCTACCAGATACGACCATCCGTTTGAACAAGGGCGTAGCGAGTGATTTGGGGAATGAGATCACATTCAAGGTTGAGCTAGGTTAACGTTTTCTGGGAAAAAGCACGAGGTCGCAGAGGGGGTTAGTTTTGATCGATTGTTGATGATTTCTGGCAAGGGTTTCAACGAGGATAGTCGAATCACAAAAATTGGTGGATTTTCCTGTGCCAACCCACTCCCTTACCTCCTCCCCCTTCGCCCCACCTCCCCCTCCCTTTCACCCTCCTCCCACCCACCTCGACCAGCGTTGTTGAGGAAAATGTGGACAGAGATTCGGCTATCATAGAAACAGCCACAAGGATGGCAGTCGGGTAAGGGGGTAGTATTGGGAGAGCCTACTAAGACGGGAGTTGGCAGTGAGGGGTCGCATCGAGATCCCCTAAAAAAGAGGGTGGAGGGGATCGCGCAAAAAGTTGGAAAGGTGCGAACACGACGGTTGATCTGGTCCTATCCACTTAGTCTGTGGACCTGTGAACATCACACGCAAGCATTTCACACTAATGATCTATTAAAATGATAACTGAGATGGTAAAGCTAAACATAACAACTCTTTTATAAGGCGTTAATGCTTAATATATGCAATACAATAAGAAAGTATGACTGAACAAAAAACTCACCTTGGAAAGCCGCTAGAAAGGGAGCTGAACGGCTTCGAAGTGGGCGTGGTTAACAATCGGCTGCAATCCCCTCGGCCGATTCCAACCACGCCCACTTCGAAGCCGTTCAGCTCCCTTTCTAGCGGCTTTCCAAGGTGAGTTTTTTGTTCAGTCACACTTCTTATGTTCTTGACTAGGGCTAGCGCATCGTTCCACACCATTAGTGTCGAAGGTAAAAACCCTGCTGGGACTGTATCGTTGAAATAGGACGAAAATGGGGATTGCAGCTTCAAGAGAAGAAACCAAAAAAATATAAATAAAAACGTTTTTTAATAAAAAATACAAATGGGTCATTACAGAAAATCATGGAAATTAAAATGAATAACTTAACTAGAAATCTGAGAAGGATGCTGACTAGGTTGGTAACATTAATTTTTTTCTTCTTTTATGCTACTCGCATTAGAGAACTGGGTTTCGGTTTTTTCCTACTCAATCATTTCAAGCCTATCCGGACCAACTATGGGCATGGTCCGTTGAAATTTGTTTTCATTCATTGTTTGAATTGGTTTATGACGCTCAATGATTGCATAACTGCAACACTACTGAACGTTCAAGACAATTTTAAGCTCTTCGTCGTTAAGATACCTTACATCTTGTCCGCGATGAATCTAAACTGGTGGTAACCTGCTTCTCTACGCATCACCATGGAGAGCGCACCTGGTTGAGATGAAAGGGAAGCTGGTTCATATTGAAAGTGAAGCTCTTAAAATCCAACCTGTTAGGCAAAAATCTGGATCCGGGAAATTCTTACGAAATCAAGGTTTCTCACAAATGACTTTCGAGCCGGCATCCTGTCAATCTGCATTAATTGTCACGATGCCTGCTCGATATATATGTAGACTTTCTATTCTCCAGAATTGAGATAATCAAAAAATGAAATTAGGCGGCGTCCTAATTATTTCTGTTGGAATTAACTGTCTGAAATATGTGCTTCTCTTTTGATTGGCCGTGCTCATATGTAGATTTACAGTGCCTCCCATTTTTGACAGCCCTAATACAGTGACTTACGATTAGAGAAAAACGTACATCAACCCCATTGATAACGCAAAGTCGGGGATTAGTTGACCAAACCAACCCTTTCGGTCATGCCTGTACTTGGTTACGCACCCGTAGAGATGTTCCCACACTCAAAACCCGAAACGGCGCAGTAATAAGGCCCCAGGGCATGTACTATGCGCTATCGCCGCCTGGCCCCGCTACGACCGCCCACCTTGGGATGTGGTGCATGGCTGGCATAACGTGTGAAATCAGCTAGGTTGATTGCCGTATCAACCGATAGAACGACTGATATCTTCAGAAAACTTGTTTGTACGTGCCTCTTCCCCAAGCCAGCCTCCTTCACTGCTAGTGGGAAAGAGGGTTTTGTTAACGGCCTTGTCGACGGTTTTTCTCAGTTTTTTCTCCACTGTTTACTTCGCATCTCTATACTCAGTTTCAATCGCCATAATACCCCCTTATTGAGCCCGACTTTTGCCTTTAAGTCACGCTTAATTTTAGCGTTTTTCATGATTTCCCTTTCCTCTTTCCACTTTCGGTTTGTT